TGTACTTCAAAGGCAAGAAAAAAAAAGATTAATCAGTATAGTGCATGATTGATTCAACATAGTTTCCAGGGAAGAGACCAGTCACTCAATTGCAGACTCCTTCATACCAGCCATCATCGTTCTTCTTTATCACGTAAATGATTGTATCCTCCATAAATGACAGCTCATCATCCTTGTCTTTTGTATAATCATATATTGCAACAACTTTTTCAATATAATTCTTGGGGGCCCAAGCAGAATCCCCATCTGCATATGGGTCACTATACTGAACTACTGCAGCTTCCTCATCTTCATAGTCCACTGGGGGTGGGGGTGGTGGAGGGGGAGAGTCATCAAATATGGGAATGTCATCTGGTAGAGGTGGTGGCGGCGGAGTTGGGCTATGAGCAATGTTTTCCTGCACCCTGGCCACGAAGCCTGTGAGAGGTATCTGTGGAGTCAATTGAGGCATAGGGGGAGGGGGTGGAGCAATAGAAATTGAATTTTGAGAATGAAGTGAACCTTCATTAACATGAGGCTGAGCAGAAAATTGAGCAGTCCGTCTGTATCAACCCGAAGATGTCGAAGAAGTGGTAGAGTTGTGTTGAGAAATCTGCCTGGTCATTGTGCCATACTGGGAACCAGGAGCTGAGCCTGGGGCTGCTGGTGCAACAGTGGGTGGAGAAGGTGTAGGTACAGCAGTGGGAATGCCGGTGCTACTGCTTCCACTGTTCTCTCGACTTCCACTTCCTCCACTACTTCCACTGTGTGTCCTTGGTCTCTGATTTAAAGAGGCTTTCCTGCCTGGACTATGCTGACTTCCAAGTCTTGCAGGACTGGTCATGTAATCATTAGGAACTGTTGGGGGTTTAACAGGCTCCAGGGTTTTATAGGGAGTATTCTGTCCCAGTGTTCCCCGGCCTGACATAAGAGGGCTTGGTGGTTTCTGAGTAAGAGGATTTGTTCTCGACAGTGTGCCAGTTCTTGCAGGCTGGTTATTTCCATGCTTGACACCATGGTCCACATCATCAAGAACTGTGTAGTCAATGGGTTTCCAAATATACCTTACAGGTGCTCCATATTTGCAGGTGCTATTATTTTGTGAGTTCTTTTTTTTTTTTT